CCCCCCCCCCCCCCCCCCCCCCCCACCCCACCCCACCCCTGGCGGATTCCAGTTGCTCAGCAGTTCTCTGTGCCATTCCCACAGATATTGGGCTTTGAGTTGACAGATCTAATTAGAGACAAGGTTCAGGCCCAAGCCCCTGATGAAGTAAGATACAAAGGATCTGCGCGCTAATACTTTCGGCTCCTGCTGCTTATATAATCACTCAGTACTTAAGGTTCTCAGCCGACCATTTTCCTCTGGGTGATATTGTGTCATGAGGCGCATGTAGAAAGTAGATCATGCACAGTAGGGTGCAAAGGGATGCCGTCACTCCTGGCTCAGTGGGTGCATGATATATTCTGCATGCTAACGTCACTTCAAGCACTACGTTGAGCCATTGGTCTCCTAGAGGAAAGGGTGTTGGAAATTTCTGAGATTATAGCCACATGTTTCAGAGGCTTGTAAGATTGAAGCGAGTGTAAACAAGCGAAATTAAGTCATACATCACACCAGCTCGAGACATATCTCACTCAAGCATGGAGTTGTAACTTTCAAACTTGTGAAACAATATTGCATGCCGTGATCTTCAGGTAGGGGTCACTTCAGAGAGAATGCCCTGCTTCATTACAGGAGCTTCCTGAGATTCTGTTTGGGCTTTATTTTTTTAAGTCAGGATCTAAGACATCTGCTTCCAAAACAATAACAGGATAAGGCTTACTGTGGTGCATCTGGAAAAGTTGTTTATAAATGGGTTTGCCCACTCTGAATGGCATTTACAGGAAGTAGCAGTGGATCTTAAATGGACATAAAGCAAACAACTCAACAATACCCCTTAACTAATGCCCTTTTTATGTTTGAGGGACAGAACACATTGTTTGAGCCAGTGTACCAACCAATACATCACATTTGGCTTGTTTGCTGTAAATAAAAAGAAAAGCCACGGATAATAAACGGATAATAAACGGATGGCTGCAGATGACTCATGCTACAAAGGGGAGAAGATTGAAAACTTGGTAGAACATAGTGATTAGATGTTTTTATTATTGTGAACCGCTTTTTATTACAAGCTGCGGTGATTCCAGGCAAACGTAACTGGGTTATCCACATTCACAATTTCTTTAGTCTATAAAAGCCATGACATTGGGCTTATCATTTGTTATGAACAGTAAATTATATATCTCTTCCTGTTGTCTTTATTGGTGTGATAAATCAGTGCTGTCTTATGAATAACACTTCTCCATCATACTCTCCTTTCCATTATATGAACACAACATGCTATGCTGATTACTGTCGCTATGGTGTGATGTCTAATGCGCAGTGGTGACTTGATAAGTCAACAAATTGTAGAGATATGATATATGATTGTATGACACAACTGCAGAGCGTGGCTCTGTGAGGATTGAAATGTAGGTCTGTCTGTTGCTCGGTTTGGTCCACCGTCAAATATAAAAAAAAATACTGGATGGATTAAGATACAATTTTGTAGCTTCCAGACCATACTGACTAAGTGATCCCATGACTTTTCATCTGGTATCATAATCAAGTCAAATCTTAACTTATCCAGTTTGTGACTATTCTGCATCATATTCTGCAACAATTTGCTAAAACATTAGATGTTTCACATATCATGGCTCATTTCTTTTACTTTTCCTCCTCAGAAATGGGCAAGCATTTGGTGCAATGTCAATCCAGTGCAACAAGTAAGGTTCACTAAAGACAAAAACATGTACAGAACCTATTTTGAAACTTGAAACAAATGGTAATCCAAAGA